GTATAAATGACTAACAATATTATAAGAACCTTACTATTTTAAAAGAAGAGATAATTTCCCTCAATGAGACTCAGATTAATGAATTTTCACTTTGTAGTTATAGATAGTTGTGTGGGTGTAATTCATATGTATATTTCAACTGCCTTTCTGCCTCCTTCCTTTGTTTTCACACTTATATAAAATAATTGGTTCTTTGTCAACAAAATCTTACTATTCAGAATCCTAATCAAGGTTTTAGGACACCATGATTCCTTCTGTTATGATTCCATCTACTATAGACCTAATATTGGTTTCCCTCAACCCTATCAAATCCTTAAATTGAAACCTAATCTCCAGGGTGATAGCATTTGGAGGTGGGGCCTTTGGAAGTCTCGACCTTCACTATTGGGATTAGTGCTCTTACAAGAGGCTTGGAGAATCCCTCTTCCCTTTCTGCCTTTTGATGACAAAATGAAAAGACAGCCAGTAAGCAGATCCTCGCCAGACACCAAATCTGCTAGCACCTTCATCTTGGTATTCCCAGCATTGGAGACTGTAAGAAATAAATTCCTGTAGATTATAAATCATTTTGCTATAGAAGCTGGAATGAGGTAAGATACCAACCCACATATACCCCTCACTTCTATGAACTTTTATTGAATTGCATGATTTTATTATGTTCTCTCATCCTAGAACTCTTCCATGTACCTCTCAAATTTTGTATGATGACAATTTCAGTTGCAAGTGACAGAAATTCAACACAAAGTAACCTAAGTAAAAAGAAATCTACTGACTCACAAAACCAAATAATGGAAAGACAGGATTAGAGTCTATTTCAGCAGTAAAAGCTGCAGTTCTGGAGCATCAGAACTCTCTTTTAAAATTTTGCTCCTTTCTCTCTTCACCTACTACCCCATCACTAGTCTAGGCTTTTATTTTTGTATGTCTGTCTCAGGTGTCTCTATATAAAAGAACCTGTCAGGATTCATGTCTTACAAGTTTGTGATTCAAGACAAAAGAACTATATTTTCCCCCCACCATGAACATTCAAGGAAGGACTCTAATTGCCCCACTTGAGTCACATGTCTGCCATTTGGATATTGAGATCAAAGGGATATGCAAGTATCATTACCCCAGCCTGACACATGTGCCTCTCAACACAAAAGAATAGACACATGGGGCAGACGACTGTGATTGGCTATCCATGGCAACCTTCTAGACCTCCTAGGGTGGGGTGAAGTAGGTCCCAAAGAATGTGTGTGGGTAGAGTTGGAAGTTACTTGAAAAGGGGAAGAGCAATGAACAAATGAAAACTACAATCTCCTAGAAAGTAGAAATCTCAGCTCATCCTTCAGTATCTGCCTCACACCCAAGCATTTCTTTTCTGCCGCAGTCCGGCTGCAGCAGAATAACGGGGGGTGACGAATAACTTGTGTATGTTGATACAGCAGGAATGGAAGCCTTTATTGTAGGACAACAGAGCTATTTATACATTTTGCACAGCTTATCTTAATTAGCATAAACTAGATACATCAGTCAACCAATAAGGAATCTCCACACTTAATGGCTTGCTTTT